TATATAATAATAAACCACCGCCACTTGTTACTGTGGTAGGGCCATGCAGCAGCCTCGGCTGTTGCACGAATGGGCAGGCTCGTCCGGGTAAGTACCACGACCTCACAGAAGACCAGCGTAAAGTGGAAGTATGACAAATACTTTCGAGTTTCGTCTGGTGAGTGAGGTAGCCGGAGCCCAATTTTCAAAAGGTTGTCAACGCATCTATAACCCTCGGGTGTAGCAGATGTCCATGGGCGGCGGTATTCACTTACCATCAGGTGAATCGTCTGCTCGTTTGGCAAATTTTCACATAAAAAACATGTTATACAACCATTACTAAGTTTATTATATGATATTGGAATAATGTCCTTCCTTTTTAATTACTTTACTTTTTAAAAATCCAATAATTATTAAAACTATTCACCGTATGTCGATATTAATGCTATTGCCTTAAAAATTTCTTAAATACTATTTCCGTACTATTTCCTAAGCTATTATTCCTGAAGATTCATTAATTATACCCCAAACATTTACAAGCTTACGCGAAAGTTTAACACCAGCACAAAACCCATAACTTTAGGTCATCATAATTAGATACTTATGTTCTAAACGCTTTCGGTTTGTTTCTGTTTTAATAAAGGAACACAATTACAAAACAACAATATCTCGTCTTTTTACTAGAACGAAATTTATAAGAATAGTGTAGTTGCAAATGTGACATGGCGAATAATAGAGCTGTAAAGCGGGCAGAAATGTTAAATCAATATAATAACTCATTAATTACTAGCGACCCGCCCCGGCTTCGCGCGGTTGCAATATATTATAAACATATCCTCTTGATTTACGTTATCTAGGAAAAAAAACCAGATCAAGATACGTTGCGCAGTTTTAAAGATCTAAGCATACACAGGGACAGACAGACAGCGGGACGACTTTGTTTTATACTATGTAGAGAAGAAACCTAAGAAACGGAAACTTAAGGGCGCATACCATTACCTCTAAACCATAACTGACTTCTAACTTACTTTTCAGATTCGCGAAATAAGAAATCTCGGTTTACTACTCGGATTTGGTCACTTTGTACAGCCATTGTCTCTTTCTTTAACCAGCTCTGTGTGAATAGTCAATATTGCGATCACACTTATAGTTGCCGATTATATTCTCCCGATTTCTACGTCTATTGGGTGCTGTCTTTCTCTACATGAAAAGTCCATGCTGACGTTGTATTTCACCATTGACAAAAAAGCAATGAGCCTATTTAAATCGTGAAAATCGATTCGTATCCCTCATTAAGTGAGGGGTAACAACTGAGCGGCTAAGGCGTGAAACCGCGCTAGTTACCAACGTCGGCCATTACCGCACCAACACCACATGGCGTGCCCGCAGTGGTAAATTGAGCCGAAACGAATTATTTATTTAAATGGAAATTATCGGCATACGACCGTCCGTTGCGCTTGACGCGTCAAACGCCGCCACCATTTGAGCGACATGTGCATATTTCCGGGCGCCGAATTTATTTGACATCTTATTGGAAATGAGGTGTGTGCGTAAGGAAAAATAAATAATAGCCATTTACAAAAAGCCATGTACTATACTAAGCAATTTCGGTGTCGACTGTGATTCGATTTCCACACAAGCATATATTTTTGCGACGCACAGATAACTATTTCGGCTCTGGGTGTTTGTTCCCAAGGAGGTTTGATCATGATACACATATCACTACCCTAACTATTACGGATTAAGAAAACGGAGGATGATGATGACGATAGATAACAGTAAATAATTCTGAATATAAGCTCGAAACTTGCTAATAGGAAGGGAGAATACCGTAAACGAAATATCTGATGAATTTTTGAAAGTAGATACGGCGACTCTATATTCATAGTTACATCTGAAATATGTTGTTACGATGGTACCTCAGTTTCGGGGCACTAAAATCAACTTTACTCAATCAGCAAACTATGTTTTATATGTATTAATTTACCACGCGTAATAAAAAAAAATGTTAACATTTATTAAGTTCATTAATCCGCAAATGAGCCGTGCGGCGGAATATGCCCAAATATGCTTTTAAGAGTAGAGACTTTTGTCTAGCGGTGGGATATACTAAATGTTCAGGCTTTACAGTATACTTGCATAATTATGTCTTCTCGTGTTTCATAATAGCTTAATATTCTGTACATTTACGAGAAAGCTATTAAGTTTATCAATATTGATATTTAGCACAAATTATGCATGCATCGTCATAAATCTTGTGATGCGTCTACGCCTTTCGTAATACGAGACTTCAATTTTGAAATGTCGATGAAATCTTGTGGTAATGTGTCGAATATGGCCGACGTGCCTCCTCGCGTCTCAACACTAGCTGCGGGCATTCGCGGGGCTCGATGACTATACCCGCCGTGACAAGTTTTTTTAAATACCAAGACACATGTTTGCATTGTATTGTTGGTGTTGTAATGCTAACTGGTAAGTCTCAACGAATTATGAACATAAATCAAAAAAGATGAAATTGTTGTTAACTAAGAACCATTGAAAGAGAAACAGGTAAATGCGTTTTTCTGACTATTTATATTTCTGCAACAACATCGCAGCTCCTAACTAGTAAATTGAGAGACGATAAAAAGATGATAATGATTAAAATCTGAAAATATTGGCTAGATCTTAATATTTAACAGTAACTAATCGGGTTTCTCTCGTTGTTCATGATACTACCGACACCGCAAAGTAACAATTTCTTATGAAGAATGTATGATAAAATATTGCCATCTATGGACAATTTGTTTAAATCAAACCTTTTATTGATAAAACCTATTTAATTTCGCATTATTATATTGCCATCCGGTGACTGATCAACTATTGTGCGAAAATTTCGCACGGGTCAACGACTATATAAATTCATTTCCTGAAAAATAGCAAAAAGCATAAATCATTGTAGTCTTATTAAAATGATATAAAACATAATTGGTACTTATGTAATATGTTTACCTACTTGTGCGTTTAATTTCAATTTATGGGCATTCGCATAGATAACAGAGAATCCATGATTGATTTCAATATTCAAATCAATTCTTTCAACAGCCCATCATTCAGTCATCTATCGTACAATTTAATGCAATTATTTACTTTCTCGACAAATAAGCGCAAAATAAAATATTGTCAAGCCAAAAATATGATTTGGATCAATAAGTACGCCCCCACTACGTGGTATCTACACAAGGTTACACAAGCAGGGAACCCTATGCGTGTGTACGCTTATGTACATACTCACGCTAATGGGTAAATAATGTCTTTCACTCATTATCTTTTACTTAATCTATAACCAACAATTTCATTTTTACGACATCGCCTCGGCGGCAATATTTGGAAACAATCATGTATTACGGTTTGTCATCATCATGTCCTGATATTATTTTGATATAACGTAAAAATTATGCTTTTTACGTTATATCAAAATAATTTAACTAATTACCATAGTAGATAAGAGTAGGGTTCACTGATATTCAAAACAAACAATATTGTGTTTCTGATATTGTGTTTTAGCAACCATTCCTTAAGATATGTTTTAGCTAACTGTGGTAGGGCCATGCAAGTCTTCGCTGATGGACGAATGGGCACGAATGTTCGGGGAAGTACCTCACTACTCGTAAAGACTGGCTTCTGCGTTTAGTCTGCAACCGGAGCCTACTTTTTTAAAAGGTGGCAACGCATCTGCAACCCTGCAGGAGTTGCAAATGTCCATGGATGGCGGTTATCACTTAACATCAGGTGAACCACCAGCTCACTTACCACCTTCTCATTAAAAATGCTTCGTCGGACAGGTTTTCCAAAGAAACTTTCTGGGATAATTACGCAAAACTATTTAGGTCATATTTACTTTATGATTATTTATTTTCAACCTTAACTGAGTTAAACAGAAACGTACCATGCGATTACTCGTTGTGGTGGATTGATCTCACACAGCGCTGACAGGTTCTCATGACTTTTATGATTATTGTCAACCAACGAATTATATTGTCATTGTTCCACATGATCCATTTAGAAATAAGGAGATATTTTTGATAATTTATCAACAATGACTTGAGGATGTTATTCTACGAGGGACGGTGGATAGTGCGGATTTGACTTCATCGGGATCAATATTAATACTGACATTCGTCGCTAGCGCTATTGATGATATAATACATTATCGCTTTATAGGTTCAAAGTAGGAATAACATTTAGAAACTTTAACGCAAGTAAAATTTGTACGAAAATAAATCTCAGAAAGTCTTTAATATAATATTAATTATAATTTATATCTAATAATTTAATATTCTTTTCTCGAAGAAACAAAAGTTTTGTAACAGCTATTGTCTTTGATATAAAACAAAAGACAAAGTTAAATTCTACGTTACATTGATTAGTTCATCGTGACTTGACACCCCTTTTGCTGTTACTAATTATTTTGTAATTCGTCGTCTGATTCTAATTGGATACGAACCTTATTGACCTGCTTGGTAGAAAATATTCGCTATTATAGTTTTTTTTTTTTGCTAGCAGAGGTCTATAAATATATTTTTTGTACTAATCGAATTGCGAAAACCAGTAGTTATGTACTATTTCATAAGCAGAGTAAACATCATCACATACATTTGAGGCATCAGTCTGGATATTTTGATCTGTTCACCGTAGTTCATTCAACACCATTATATGACTTCTTGATTTATGTACTTCTCAAAGTCAAGAACATAAATTAAACATTAAACACAGTAAAGTGAAAAACACAAATCCTGGTAAAAAAGAAGGATTTGTAACTTAGATTTCTTTAATGTTAAAATTTTTTTTAACATATTTAACGAAGAGTAAAGGGAATAATAAGAACCATCAGCAGTTTAAATGACAGTGGCAGTCGCTGTGGAAATCGTGAAATTTATTTGCAACGAACCGTGCGACAAATAGGGCAACATTAGTTTCGACGTCACGACCAAACAATATGTCATAAATTGTAAATCCGGCGCGAGTTAGTTTGCATTAGAATGGATGGGGCGAGCCTCCCCTCCGGCGACGCGACGTCGGCGACCCGGGAACGACGCGAGGCGTTCGATTTCACCCGGAATTAACTCGATAATTCTCTAATTGTGCAATTAGCCGGCGGCAATTTGCTCTCGGCTTATCGGCGGCGAATTACCCGGCAGCCGTCCTGTTTCGAAGTCCGTCGAACACAATATCATTACGAGGATGTTTAACCAGCTTAAAGAGTTTCAGTGATAGTAATACAGTTATCTTCTTTTTTCTTAAGTAAGAAAAAAAAGAGCCTCTAACGACTTCCATCGATTTTAAGTCATTTAGTTTTGAGATTGCTTTTCTCACTTAGTATTGCAAGCAATAATTTAGCAATTTTAACTTAAATCCGATCATTTTTGATATTTTAATACTTATTTTAAATGAGATATCGTGCTGTTCTTATTAATATAAAGCGAACGCTGTCTTCGATCGTCTTGTTTAATAATAATTTACGTCGCCTTAATAAACAACCAATTGGTGTATGTTAGACGTATACGCACGCACATAACGAAGATGGCTGCGATTATTTTCAATAATGTACTTACGAGAAATATTAGGTCATAAGTATAGTTATGAGTTTTATGAAATACAATTTCGTTCCGTAACGACTTCACGATCATCTTAATAACACGTCGAGAGCTAAGCGTTTTCGCTTGAATATTCATTTCGGCTCATCATAATTTTGGTGGATAATTTCAAATTATCCAATCTGCTGAAGGCGCGCCAACGCTATGAGGTGCATGCGCCTTTGCGTATCACGATTTATTGCTTCTCACATTAATTTTATTACGCCGCGCCATTAAATTATAATATTGTATCATCAGTGTTTATCGCTTATCAAATAAGGTGGTTTCAGCTTCGCGCTTCAAAGATATACAACGTAATTTTGAAGCTTAGAGGACTTTTAACTTATTTGTTAACCTTTATATTTAATAATAAATGCAAGTCAACAATCTTGAAAGTTAACTGCACCGCACTTCGCACCTCAATATTGTATATAGTGGTGGTTGGTTGTTACCGAAATTCGTAAACCCTTCCGTGTAAGTACCACGGCATAATAGAAGACCGGCGTAAAGTGGAGTGGAGATAATTTTGCGTTTCATTTGCGATGCACCAACTCGATTGAAAAGATGACAAATGGCAGTTTTTTTCAATTTGCCTTTTTCCGACTTATATGGTAATTGAGGCGTGATAGCTCAGTGCCCCGGCGCTCGCCTTTAATTACTTTACTGCTATTTACTTATTATTAGTACAATATACTCGAGCAACCTACGTCCGATCCCCGGGGCCGGCACCAATGAAGTTTTTAATTTGAAGTGTTGACTTATTTCGTGCTCCGCGGTGAAGGAAAACATCGTGAGGAAACCTGCATATTTTCGAAATAATAACAAAAAAAATATTTCGAAGATATGTCAAGTCCGCCAATCCGCAGTGGGGCCGCGTGGTGGACTATGCCCTGATACCCTCTGTATAGAGGAGGCCTTTGCCCAGCAATGGGACATGTATAGGCTGTTACTTTACTTTTTACTTTTATGGTAATCGACGACCGACCCGTTTGCGACACTTCTGATGTCACTGTTATTTATACCAGATACACTTTCCAGTTTTCTAATTTGAAAGAAATAATAAAGATTTTGTTTGAAAAGCCATAAGAACTTCAAAACATAAAAGGAATTGTGAAATAGATTGTTATTTTGTGGTGCCCGGCATAGTTCTGAGCGTATATGTTATACATAAATATACTTCAGCCTGCACATTTCATTTGTGACATTACGTCGACGATCTGATGGGGATGGGTGATTATCCGTTTCAAGTTCAGCGCTAGATCAAAGCGAACATCCGAAACGACGCAGTCATGATGTCTGTCCTCTTTTTTTTTAATCTAGCCGTATGGCCGCCGGATGAGTACGAGTGTTCATCCACCCTTCCGCGTCGGCTACCTGACCCGATACTGCAATTTGCGCCCGCATTAGGCAATCCCTGTTCCGACTTCGACTCGGGATTTTTTACGACGCAAGATCTCCGTCATTTTTGACAAGGAGACGGCCATCAGCCGAGAGCGGCGGAGAGCGGCGCCGCCGAGTCGCCCGGGTACCCGGCCCAATCTCCGTGAGTGGACTTGCCCGGGTTGACGACCAATTACGGATATCATTGGGCCCCGGCCCGCGCCCAAATGGAGCATAATTCCTAGGGTAATTATGACCGTGGCTCGCCTCTCATCGATTCCGCTCTCTACTGGCGCGTATTATCTAAATTGCTCCGATGTGCGCTTAAACGCGTCGTTTTTTTTTTTCTCTTTTTGATTTTTGAAAATAATTCGCGTCGCTTATTCGATACGATTGAGATTGGTAGAGACCGTTAGGGTCAATTAAAAGTCAAAAGTCAAAATTTCTTTATCACCACAAAGTATAAAACGAATTCGTACCGCTGTCTGTCTCTATGTATGCTTTAGGTCTTTAAAACGACGCAACGGATCTTGATGCGGTTTTTTACTAGATAGAGTGATTCAAGAGGAGGGTTTGTATGTACCAATGCACCCCTGCGAAGTCGGGGCGGGTCACTAGTTCAATATAGTTTTGTTTTAACTTCTTATTGAACGTCAAAAAACTAGCACTGCCTGGTTCGCTTATTTGGACTTGTCCAGAGAAGAAATGGCATAAAACTCTGCGGTCTTATTCTCTTTTTTTTTTCAATAACCGAAGATGTCATTAATTTTATAATATACTTTTTGGTTTTAGCTAGTATAAGCCTTGGTACTCGTCAACTTTTCAACAAGTTATTCGATTCCGTCAATTTATCAATTCCCGTTAATTTATCAACGCAGCGATTTTTGAGACTTAAACTTTTTTATTGAGAATACTGGAAATTCAAATCTACGTTTTTCAATATATCTAATTGAACTATATAAACAATGAATTAATTGGCATTCTCCGCGAGTTTTTACATAGGTAAAAACATTTTTTGAAGTAAATTATTCATAAATAATGATAATTGTTAAATGACGGTTTTAGAAAAATTTGTTATCCTATTTTTCCTTTTTTATTTAACTATACTGGGCCACGGTAAAATGTGAATATGTGAGCTTATTATTAATCAATAATAATAGTTGTTTGATAACGACTCAGAGACAGTGATACGAAGTAAGCAGTTCTGAGGAGAGGCGCATACCGGCACAGCTGCACCAATCACAATATAAAGGGCGTGGCAAACCCCTCGCCCCGGCTACAGTGTCCCGATCCCCGCATTATGTTATTGCATACAATGAAACTTTTTTATTGAGCCTTTGTCTCACATTGGGGTGAAATATCCGGTCGGATGTTCCCTCTGCGCTCACCTTTATAACCGAATGGGTGCGGGGAACGGCTTATGGTTTCGTTTCTTTGTAGGAGCATAATCTATATACGGTCGCTCGGATTACAACAGTTCATTCGGTGCGATAATTCATGCAACGGATACGCGACGTGATTTATAGCGTTTTCATTTACGAGTATCGGTTGTTTTGTTTCACATTACGTTGACACTTAATCAACATTGGTGTTTTACGAGTGAGCCGGCCAGCGGGCGGCGTTTATTAATTACGACGTCCCGCGGTCGCCGAGCGGTAGCGTCGGGGCTGTCACTGCCCTGCCTAATTGTAAATACAGTTCACGGGCCCCGCGTAATTTATTGAAATTATTTCTGGACGCCTCAGGCAGCGTTCCGAACGCGGCGTTTGTTCACGTATAAATAAGGCGATAAATCTGACTGTATTCGAACCCATTCCCACGCTCGTCGATAATTAAACCCGAATAAATAATGTTACTCTTCGCTCGTTCCACTTAATTAACTGTTCGGCGCTCGTCCTTCCAGGAGCATCCAAGTTTACGCGGCACCCCGCTGGCGATGCTCGCGGCGCAGTGCAACAAGCTGTCGAGCAAGTCACCGCCCCCGCTGGCCGACGCGGCGGTGGGCAAAGGGTTCCATCCGTGGAAGAAGAGCCCGGGAGCCCATTCGCCGCCCGGCGCGGGCTCCGCGCCGCGCTCCCAGCCGCCCCCCTGCGGCCCGTACGCGCGCGGCCCCGCGACCTGCGCCGCCGCGCCCTCTTACGGCAACGACCTCTACTTCCCCTCCTCCGGCGACCAGTTGCTTGGCAAAAGCGAGTCCAGTGCCAGCCTCGGCTCCATGTACTCCCGGCACCCGTACGAGTCGTGGCCGTTCAACGTCGGCGGGGGCGGGGGCAGCGGCGCCCTTAAAGCCGCCGAGATGGGCGGCGTCAGCGCGGTCGGCAGCGCTTGGTGGGACGTGCACGGCGGCTGGCTGGATGTTGGCGGACAGATGGCCAACTACGCCGGACAAGACTACTCGCAACTGACACATTCCTTATCGGGCGGCGCGCACTTGCTGCCACCGGCACCTCACCTGCTGCAGGACGCTTACAAGTCGGTACTGCCGACGCAGGGCTCGTTCGGGCTGCATACGCCGGGCTCGCCTGCGCCGCCCGCCCAAGCGCCCTCGCCACGCTCGCAGAGGCGCTACGCGGGCCGCGCCACCTGCGACTGCCCCAACTGCCAGGAGGCGGAGCGCCTAGGCCCTGCTGGGGCGCACCTCCGCAAGAAGAACATACACAGCTGTCACATACCCGGCTGCGGCAAGGTCTACGGGAAGACGTCCCACCTGAAGGCGCACCTGCGCTGGCACACCGGCGAGCGCCCGTTCGTCTGCAACTGGCTGTTCTGCGGAAAGCGCTTCACCCGCTCCGACGAGCTGCAGAGGCACCTGCGCACCCACACGGGCGAGAAAAGATTCGCGTGTCCCGTGTGCAACAAGAGGTTTATGCGCTCCGACCACCTCGCGAAGCACGTGAAGACGCACAACGGCGGCAAGAAGGGCAGCTCGGACTCGTGCTCGGACTCTGAAGAGAACAGCCAGGGTGAGGGCGGTGCGGGGGGTAGGTCGCCCGAGCACCAGCTCGACGTGAAGCCCAGTGCGCTCGTGTGACGGGGGCACGCGGCGATCGCGCTGCCCCACGCCCCGCCGCTCCTGTGATAACGCCCTGTACATAGCACATATCAGAACACTGTATAAAACGACCCCGTTATTAGAGACATTTCGACCCACGTCGCCCAACGTCGGTCTAGTATTTGATGTGAGACTTCAAGTGTACAGTATAGATACTATGAGATATTGTCTATTATTATTAAGATATAAAACTGTATGGTAATATAGATTAAGTAGAAACACTCTTTTTTAGATCAACATCGCGTGTAACTTATTTCAATATTATTATATTAATACCTCAGCCGATCCTTAATTATTAAATCCAACTGTTGAACCACTGTTATTTTATTTACGTACTTATAAAGTTTATGCATAAAATTTAATTTAATGAACAATATACAATGGTAATAACTAATTAGAGTGAAGACTGTAGAATCAATTAATTATACGGAGAAGTGTTGTTAAAAGTAGGAAAAGTTAAGCGTGCGAGATCAAATGTTAAAATTACCTTGTACAATTCGTTGAATAAAGTTAGGATTAATTTTCAAACTGCAACTGTTTTAATAGTTTCGGTACAAAAATATTTATTTTTTTCGATGTATAATTTCAATTTTCGGAAGTAAAATGAAAATTTGTCCTCTTTTTTGGCATGCAAACGTTCTATTCGTGTAATTATATCATGTAATATTATATTGTACAAATTTATGCTAATAAAAACGCCTGAAATTGATTTTTATAAAAATTGAATATATTTTCCGAGTGGATATTTGTATTTCAATTCACCAAACTAAAACCAACACAAAGACATAACAAAAATTAGTTAAGAAAATGGTAAGTTATCGTTAATTCATTGATACTGTGACATGGAAGTTTTGAAGAAAGATATGTTTTATTTTATTTTATTTTATTTGGCACACAAAACAGCAAACAGTAATATACACATCACAATAAAGTTCAATAAGGTAAACAATTACATACTGTCAGCCAAAACTATGCGTACACAACATGCTACGATATCATGGCAAAAATGTTTTCAACTTAATTTACACTGGATAAAAAAAAATATAAACAAAAAATCTGCTAAAAACAAAATAAAAAATATGTGTACACAAAAGAAGAAATAGCCTCAATTCAACCGTGATATAGATAGGTGCAGACAATTAAAATGCTAGTGTCGTAAATCTAAACTAAGATTTAAAAGGCATAAGTTTCAGCGAGTAAATCTGCTCCGCAGACTCAGTTTTGACAATTATTTTCTACTCCATATTAAAGTATGCAGAAAAATAAAAAATACTTCAAGCTCGCGAACATTTTTACCATAGAAACAACACAAAGTACAGGGACAGCCCTACTCTTTTTGAGTCACAATTAATAAAATGTCATAAAATCAATCTTAACAGCATGTGTTTCAAAATCTATACATAGGTTGCATACTACGAGTAAGTGCGTTTCTATTGTAACCAGCACTATATAACTGATTACAATGATATCGTTGCTTGTTAAAAAATAAAAGAAAATACGCTTTGCGCTTAAACATGGTTAATTGTGTATTAATATATAATATATTTTAATAAAAACCGGTGGTAAACAGGCTAACGATTCACCTAATCATAAAATTTAAAAATTTGTGAAATATGGACGATAAATGTTTCGCTCCAGGATACATGCCCGAGGCCCTAGACACTGAGTTAAACCGCTTATCATAACACCGGCTAATTTAACTACTTTTTTTCATTAAATTTTTGAGCTTTGTTTTTTTTTTTATGTGAATAGTTGCCAAGCGAGCAGATGGTTCACCTGATACCGCCCATGGACATCTGCTACATCCGAGGGTTGCATATGCAATGACAACCTTTTGAATATTGGGCTCCGGCCACCTCACTCACCAGACGATACGCGAAAGTATTATACTTCCACTTTACGCTGGTTTTCTGTGAGGTCGTGGTACTTACCCGGACAAGCCTGCCCGTTCGTGCAACAGCCGAGGCTGCCGCGTGGCCCTACCACCGATAAAACTTTTTTTGGCATTAAAAATCAAATAATTCAGAGAGAAGCACTGTAAAAATTGATATTCTTTCAAAAAGGCTCATCTAAAGTTATAATATTATCAAAATAAAAAGTTTAAAGTTTCTCAATCCTCTTGTTAGTGATAGTACCCCGTCGTTAGTGTCGCCCAGTTGAAGAACACAAAGTACAACAAAACTCGAAAAAACTATTGCAAGTCACAGAAATTACTGTACCATGTGGGTGCCGAACTAATAACGCGGCGCATTGGCGACATTCTCATTTGGTTTGTTTATTGAGTTAATGGAATTAATTAAAAATTAATTGGAATAAGTTAATGGCCAATATATGAGTTATATTTTCGCCATTAACTTATTTCAGCTACCTCTGATGCCGAGACGGCCCTGACAGAAGTACTGACTCCTTATATGAGAGGTAGTTGTTATGTGCCTAACCAGGGCTTTTCTTTCTTCCCTAATGGCCAAAGTATTGGCGTCAAGTATCTCGCCACTGTAACGACAAATGCCACAGGGCTCTGAAATTGAGTGTACATTGACGGGTAGAAGAAACCTACGGATAACGTCGTTCATGGGAGCCTGGCGAGAAAAACGGCGAGAGCTTTTTGACACGAAAGTGTTGGCGCTGGCAACACTGTATACCGGATATGATGTTATCTACTCGAACCAAGGGACACATGATCGCATTGAGCAGCGGGCACTTGGATTTCGGCTGCGTTCCCGGACAGAGATATAACCACTAGCGCTACTTGTCGTGATAATAGAATCAAAGTAATAACGTTTGAACTCTTATAAAAGTCCGTGGAAATTTATCTACATTGATACCACAAGGGCCAATTTGGGACTAATGACTCGATTCTTTAATTGAGACGCCTAGAAAACGGACACGCTCTAAACTACTATATAAAACTTGAAACAAGGCTTTTTGAACTCCAGCATCAAAGGAAAATCCTGTTGTATTGAACTTTACCCATCAATGAATGATAGTCGGCTACTCTAGGTTTTTGAAGTACTTATACATACATTAATTTGACAATAAAAACTACAAAGGCACTGATTTCATACATAAATGTACTCGAAATTGAAACACTCCGAAACTGTTGAGATGCCATTCAATCCACAGTTTTAATGAAACATACGGCGGCGTCCGAGCTGACAAATAGAACCATACAAAATTGGACCTTAAAACTGACGCTTGCAATAAATCGAATTCCCATTAGCAACTACGCGTCGATTATGACACCCTCAGATGACAGCATTTTGAGAGGAAACACTGCAAATAGGGCGACACTGGGTGCGTCGTAAAAAGCGAATTGAAACCACAAATAATCAAGAGGGGGGAGGGGGTCTCTGCGGGTGGGCGCAAGTTCGTGCCGTAAAAAGCGCGCTCATCTGCGACAGCCGCAGACTCCATTACCGGACTCGTGGCCTAGCTTAATCTTCCCTTTATTAATGACTCGCGCGACGGTGGTCCCCGACAATTGCTACTCATTGACCGGCGCCGCCTTGACATCATATTGATGTCTCCATCCTGCCTTAATCGTCTAACACTCCGTATGTTTACCAAGAAAGTAAGACGCACGTAATTACGTATTGTCAAGGTTAATGTGGACCTTCGTTCTTGAGAATATTGTCGGCGACGTTGTATTAAATGTCGCGATTTTAAAATTGACCGACGTTTGAAAGAACTAATGAATTTTTTTTTCATTTTCCTTGTCATTGACTCATGAAATCCACTTTGTAATTGTTTTTTTTTTTCTTATTCTGTCTCGATTTGTTGAAATTATAACTTCATATTAGTAAATATATCACATAATGTGTGGACCAAAATGTCTACCTGATCGATTTATGCAACATTACTAGACCAAACAACTATATAACTACTGCGTCATCATGAATGCTGTGAAGCAACAACACGGACCACAGGCTGGTGAGAGGACTAAGAAGACGCAAGTTTATTTGAGACTTCGTTTGCATCAATATTTCGTATTTTATTACAAATTCGAAACTTATCATTAAATAATTATACATAAAACATGTGCTAAGAAAAGATTAAACGTTAAAGGATAAATAAATATTTCTATCATTTCCCTTGTCAGATTTTGTATGTTTTTTTTAAATGCGATGAACATATTCATATATTTAAATAATTTACGTCATATTGCGAAGCGTATTTTCATACTACTTATGAAAATCGATTCACTTTTTGCATGAGTGTCTCATAAAAAAGATGTCAGATGATAGATAGTGTAAAAGTTTTTTGTCTATAACTTGAATAATTTTCCCTATAAAGTTTGATCCCTATCCTTACTTATAAGAAGTGCAAGTATGGAATGAAATTTTGATTTAAACTATTTAAATTTAAATTTGATTTTTCATCTATGTATTGCGAATAGACTATTAAAATGAGCGGCGAATATACCAATTAAAAACAAGACAATAAAAAATATTGAAAAAAGACTCAAAGATATCTCAAATATTTAAAGGAACGTAATCGCATTGTATAGATTACAAATGTCATGTTTTCCTAATTAAATATACAATTACAATTTAAATATGACCTCTGTAATCGAATAAAGAAAGCCGTTATCGGGATCAAGCTACCAGTAATAGAATTAAATCCCATTCCCCATAACTAAACACAGATTTATCACCCTCTAACCAAATTACTCGTAAACTGATCGAGGGCGCGTGATGAGGGAGTCTCGTTAGATTCTGGGTCTATTTCGAATTCTGCTCACAGTCCTCGGTCCCCTGACAAGGGACTACGAAAGAGTAACGAAGTTATTATGATTACAGGTTAGTATATTATTACCGTCAAAAAGTTATTGTAAAGTTATTTATTCATAAATACGCTTACGAGTACGTCTTCAAATCGCTTAAAAGTGCATTTGTTTATTTTTTTAAATAAATAATTTAACACTAATTAATCATTGTTAAGTATTATTAAAATAAATAATATTTTAAACTACTTAA